ATGTAACAGTTGGTATCRGAACACCGCACGTGAATCAGGACAACACGTGTGCGGGGACTAGGTAAGCTGATTAGTCTTGATTGATTGATTAGAGCCCACTAGTTAGCCCCCAAAATCACGATTTTGACCTCGATTTTTTTTTTTTTTTTTTTTTTTTGGATTTTGTTTTCTCGCTATTTCTGTTGTGGAAAATCGCAATAGCTCAACATCTGAAATGTCCGTTTTTGTTTTTCTTGTGAAAATTCAAAATTTCATTGTTAGAAAATGCGGAATATCTGTTTTTCAAAAATTTCGATTTCCTTTTGCAATTTCCCGTATTTGGAAGTTCGGAATATTTTTTTGAAACCCGTTTTTTTCAAAGCGGTATGGGAAATCCCTCTTGCAGTTCCATTTTCCAAACTGCGAATACTCTCATCTGAGAACGTCCGAATACTGGTTATTTCTTTTTGGAATTTTTTATTCGCAGTTCTATGATTTTCACTACCTGATAATCATTGGCAGTCTGAAGTTCGAAATTTTTTCTCATTGATACTTTCGCACTCCAAGGGAGGTTGGGAGACCTACTGAACTTGCAAAACTCGGGATTTTTATTTTCTCGATTTTTTTTTTTGCAAAATTCAAACTTTTCTTTTTTTGATTAGTGGCTCCTTATTTGGGCTAGTTATCCCCACCCAGCCCTCCCCACCTATGTGGTTGCCACCTCTGGTCTTACCTTCTCTATCTGTCTCCAGGTACCCCCTGCGGCGGCATTGGTGAGTTGCCACGTCAGCAGCGCACGTCAGCAGGCCACGTCAACAGGACACGTCAACAGGACATGTCAGCAGGACACATCAGCACGACACATCATCAGCCACATCAGCAGCAGGGAGTGCCACGTCAGCAGGTCCCAGCCTGATCTATGCTTACGCGCTGGAAAACAGTCGTCATGCACCAGATGTCCGGGGAAACGGACGAGGCCTATCAGGCTCGGATGCTGCTTCCGATTACCCTAAGCAGCGGTCGGATGCAGTAGCAGCCGCAACAAAGAAGAAGGCAGAGGACACCGAGAAGGCACGTCTGTTGGCAATCGAACAGCAGCGCCAGCAAGACGAGGCAGCAGCGCCAGCAAGACGCCAACGGAGAGCGAGCTTTGCTCACATTGGCAGCGGACTCGCGGGCCGAGGTCAAGAATGGCAATCTGGAAGAGAGTGAAACAAGATCGCTCTCCTCCTTGGCCATCTCACGGACCTCCTAGCCACGTGCATTGCACAGCAGGAGGACATTCACAACCTCGACAACACGGTTCAGACGCACAATCAGGTGTTTGACCAACTCACTAGCCGCCTCCAGCAGCTGGAACGAACCGTCGCCGCCCCTGTTGCCAACTCTTCCAACACCTCCGATCGCCTTGAGGCATTGGAGATTGACGTCGGATCTGTACTGGCGCCAACCACTCGAGCTCGAAACCGCGCGAGACAACTCCAAAGTTCGATGGGCAGGAGATCTTCTGCGACTCGACAAAGACAGACCCGATTCCATGGTTCCGCAAGTTCGACCTCACGTTGCAGCTACACTACGTCACCGAACACAATCACCACGGGTACTTATACTCCCGGTCCAAGTATGGTTGGACAATCTCTTGTCCAAGTACGGAGAGGTACGGAGTGGTAGCTGCCGACTTGCATACCAAGCATGCCAAGCATGGTTGGACAATCTCTTGTCCAAGTACGGAGTGGTAGCTGCCGACTTGCATACCAAGATCAGCTGGGATGATCTAAAGGCGGCATGGCATAAGCGGTTCCAAGTAGAGCCGCCGAAATTCAAGGCAATGAACAAGCTCATGGTCTTCGAACAAGGCACGCTTCCGAGTGTTGATTGCATTGCCGAGTATCAACACTTGACATCCGTCCCAGACATTCAAATGGGTTTCAAAGCCATCAAACACTACTTCATCTCGAGGTCGTGTCCGGCGTTGGCCAATGCCTTGACTCACGTCGAGGACACCTTGACGACAGCGGCATAACTTTTTGACAAGGCCGCGCAGATTATTGTCACGAACAAGGAGGCCAAGAACCTCCCGCGTTCGTTTGCGCCAGGCTTATGTAGAGATCAGCATCGGCCGAAAGTGGCCGTGGTCGCGGCGGCAACGCCAAACGACCAAACTAGCGAGGCCGTGTCTGCCAATGACGGGGACAAACTCGTGGCCGCCCCGGCAAAGGCTGAGGACGAGGCAAGGCGAAGACAAACACCGCATCTTGCCCCGGGTCAGGTGCAACAGCTCCAACCCCATGGTCCCATTACGGTCTGTCCTAGCAAGCATTCAAGGCACACACGAGATTCCGCTATTGTCTGTGGTGTAACAACGATCTCCACGACACAATGGCCTGCCAGTCGAAAGGCAAGGGCAAATCGGGAAACTTAGCATTGCCGGGAGTGACTCGACGACACTCTCGATGCCTTCGGAACCGGTCACTTCGCGGGTGACCGCCCTTCGTTCTGAGACAYATGCAGAAGTCGATAGTCCYCCTCTTCTTTATTCTTTTGAGGACTATGCTGCCCGGCTCGTTCCTACGCTGGGTACTCGTGCTCAAGGACAAGACGTGTGTGTGGCATCTTCTCCGTCCGCCAACGACAACTTATCGTCTTCAAGTGGTTCTTCACGGGATTCGGCGCGCGAGTTCAACATAGAGGTATTGGACCCGCTCACGTCCGAGGATTTCGCATGGCTTCCTCTCCCGACCACAGGCCGCTTGCCGGGCTCACGTCCGAGGATTTCGCATGGCTTCCTCTCCCGACCACAGGCCGCTTGCCGGGACTGCAATGTGCAACATTATGCGCTCATCTTCGCACGTACTTATCCTTCTATGCACCACCAACTTCGCCGACAGATGACGAAGTCGAGGTGGGGGACATCCTTCCGTATGTTACCAAGGTGGCCCGCGAGTTTCGCAAGTGGCGCTTCTCACAATTTTATGAGCCAAACCTTTATGCAAAAGGCTGGCCTTGGTGCACAAGTTCGAAGGAAGGCAAACCAGACGGCGATCAAGTTGGCGGACGGAAGGACATCAACTTATTGACCGCTACATCGAGGCCGAAGCGGTGTAATTTGCACCTCATGCATGCGAACCGGTGACATTTTACATTTTGGACACGGATTTCGACATTATTTTGGGAATGCCTTGGCGTGCAAGTGCGGATCACACGGTCAACTTCCACCGGCGGACTCTTACCGTTCGCGACGCCTTCGGCGCCGAAGTCATTCCGGGCTACTTGTGCTTACGAGAAGCCCGACGAAATCGGCCTATGTTTCCTACGGACCATTGCGGTAGCCGACTCTTCACCTATGGACTTGTCTTAGGACCCTCGTGTGGTGCGGTTGCTTGACGAGTTCGCTGACATCTTCGAGTGACCTGCCGGATCGGCCGATCTCTCACAAGATCATTCTTGAGGCCGGTGCCGTGCCGCCGAAAGGTTGCATTTATCGATTAGCGAGGAGGAGCTTCGGTCCTCCGCGCACAACTCGATGATTGGTTGGACAAACGCTGGATCCACCCTAGTAGCTCTCCATACGGAGCGCCAGTTCTCTTCGTACGGAAGAAGAACAAAGATCTACGATTGTGCATCGACTACCGCAAGCTCAACGATTGTGCATCGACTATCTTCTTGAGCGATTGGGCGCCGCAAAGTATTTTTCTAAGTTGGATTTGAAGTCGGGATATCATCAAATCTCGATCCGATCGAACGATCGTTACATATCCGCGTTCAAGACGAGGTGTGGGCATTTTGAGTGGGTGGTCATGCCTCTTGGCCTCACCAACGCCCCGCCGACCTTTCAATTGGCAATGACTAACGAGTTCCGTGCAATGTTGGACCGGTTCGTGCTGGTCTACTTAGACGATATTCTCGTCTATAGTCGGTCATTGGAGGATCATCTTGAGCACCTTCGACGAGTGTTGGAGACGCTCCGGCGCGCCAAGTACAAGGCCAACCGCGACAAGTGCGAATACTTGGGCCATTTTGTCACACCGGAGGGCATCAGTCGCTATCGGACAAGATTCAAGCCATCCAAGAGTGGTCGGAGCCACATAACGTCACGGATGTTCGTTCGTTCCTTGGCCTCGCCGGCTACTACCAGCGTTTTATGAAGGGCTACTCGAAGATCGCAGCCCACTTGACCAAGCTTCAATGTGAGGATCGGCCGTTTGACTTCGGAGAAGATGCGCGGGAATCATTTTTGGCTCTCAAAGCCGCGCTATTATCTGCGGAGGTCTTGCGCATATACGACCCGCTTTTGCCTACGCGCGTCACTACGGATGCGTCCGGCTATGACATTGGTGTCATCCTCGAGCAACACGATGGCGTGGACTGGCACCCGGTGGAGTATTTCAGCAAGAAGGTGCCCGTCGTGCACTCCATTGACGATGCAGGCAAGAAGGAGCTCCTGGCCTTCGTCCACGCGCTCAAACGGTGGCGGCACTTCCTCCTCGGTCGAAACGAATTCTGATGGGTAACGGACAACAATCCATTGGTCTTTTACAAGACCCAAGACACCGTCAACAGCACCATCGCTTCGATGGATGGATTTCATTGACCAGTTCGACTTCTTTCCCGGTCACATTCCGGGGAAGTCGAACCGTTTTGCGGATGCTCTTTCACGGCGTCCGGATCATTGTACCGTGGTTTAATCAACCTTTGAGATCGACAACGACCTGCGAGACAGCTTCATCCGTGGCTACCAAGCCGACCCCGAGTTTCGCGACAAGTGCGCAAATTGCTCCTCTCCTAATCCGGCGCCTTCTCACTACCGGATCCAAGAGGGGTACTTGCTTGTCCACACACGGGGGAAGGACCTTCTTTGCGTACCGAGTGACCTTTACTTGCGTACACGACCTCTTGGCGAGTTCCACGATGCTCCCACCAGCAGACACTTTGGAGTCAATCGGACAATTGGCCGACTTTGCGAGCGATTTTGGTGGCCCGGCCTTCTCGGCGAAGTCCGACGCTATTGCGAGTCATGCGAGGTTTGCCGACACTGCAAATCCCGCAACCATCGTCCGWACGGAGAGTTGCGACCATTACCGGTCCCCTTGTGGCAAAGGGAAGCGATTGCCATGGACATTACCGGCCCGTTCCCCAAGCACAAGACCAGTGTGGATGGGATTCTCACGGTGGTCGACCGACTCACCAAGTTTGCCATGTTTTTGCCTTGCCGCTATCATGCCAAGGCACCGGAGTTGGTCGAGGTTCTTTACGCGAGTTGGATTCGAACTAAGGGTTACCCCAAGGAAATCGTATGCGACCGCGACACTCGGTTCATGTCCGATTTTTGGTTGGCACTCGTCAAACGATGGGGCTCATCTCTCAAACCAATTTCGGCTCGCCACCCGCAAACCGATGGCCAAATGGAGAGGGCGCATCAGACCGCGCAGGTTCTCCTTCGCACTCTCATCCGCCCCGACCAAAAGGATTGGGTTGAGCGGTTGCCGGATGTCGAGTTGGCCTGCAACTCGTCCATCCACCCGACTATCGGGATGTCGCCCTTCGAGTTCGAGCACGGCTCGCCGGTCGCTTCGCCATTGGACACAATCATTCCACGAACGGCCGAGAGCGACGACAATCTTCTTTTCTTGCGTCAGATGCAAGAGCTACTTGTCAAGGCACGCGACCAGATGGCCAAGACACAGCAATGCATGAGCCGACAGACCATTCACCAGCGTCTTCCTTGCCCATTCCGCGCTGACGATCTCGTTTGGGTTTCCGCCGCGAAATTCAGCCTTGAACAAGATATCTCTCGCAAGCTCCTCCCGAAATGGATGGGGCCCTGGTCGATCGTGGCACCCGCTGGGGATGCATCCGAGGGACCTTCCTTCACTATTCAGGTGTCAGCCCACTTGCTCGTTTACCCAGTCTTTCATTGCTCCAAGTTGGCTCTTTACACACCAGCGGAACATGACGATCTTCCCAGGCGACGTTCGCCAGACCCACCCTATATGGACGGTTTTCAGGAGGTCGACGACATCATCTCCCAGCGACGATACAGCAACAGGCCAACCGATTACTTGGTACATTTTGCGTATTGCACTCACAAAGTTGACCGTTGGTTGACCCGTGCGGAACTCCAAGCAACAGCTCTGGATGTTCTCGCACGCTACGAACGCAAAATGCAAGGCAAGCCCGTATCTTCGGCTCCACGTCGCACCCGCGTCCAGGTTCCACCTTCAGATCGTCAGCTTCACCCTCGACCCGGCTTGACTTCATAAGGAGGGGGGGGTGTTACGTGTTGCGCCTGCAACAAGCTGCACGGGCCATTCCCAAGCCCGTGACGTTTTCAGGCCAAAAGCCTGAAAACAGGGGCCTACAGGCCCTGTGTCGTTTCAGCCTGAAAGCCTTAAAACAAGGGCCTACAGGCCCTGTGTCGTTTCAGGCTAAATCAGGGTCTTTCTGGCCCTGAGTGTTTTTAGCCTGAAACTGAGGGCCATTTCCGGGCCCTCATCAGTTCGACCTGCCCTGAAACTCAGGCAACAAACCGGGTTTTTAGCACAGGCCATTTCGGGCCTGTTTTCAAGACAACCCCTGGTTGAGCTTCAACGCCAGGGTCTGACACGTTTCGGCATTGGCAAGAGCAGCCTCCTGGACGGGCCAGCACTATATAGGACTGGCCCACCCTACAGGCAGGCAGGTAGTTTCTAGGTACTTCCCAGGCACTTCACGTGCAGTTCAGGAGGCAGGAGGTAGTCTTCAGGATTCGGCAGCAGCACTCTGGAGGAGCGCTGCAGGAGTAGTAGCA